GCCAAAAAAATTATATTTATATATAAAAGAAGGGAAGAAAAAAAAGAAAAATCAAGAAAATGTTACGAGGAAGGCATAACTTACAACCGCCCCCTCCGCCTCGTCTGGTCTTCGTCCCGTGACGATGTCGTTGGGTGGAGATGTGAGTGGGAGATCGACGTGAGTTCGGCAATGGCTGTGGGATTGGTGGTGACGCTGAGTCAATAGCATCGAAGAGGAGGAGAGGAGAGAGACGCACGAGGGCGGAATAGAATGTACAAAGCGCAGCAGCAGAAGCAGCACGACGCCAAGGCGTGGGAATCGACCGTCCGAAAAGCACAGCAGCAGCAGCAGCCCGGCAGTCGCCGCCGCGTCTGCCCGCTCGGGCCAATGTCCGTCGCCCCGTCCGAAGACGACTCCGGCGCCACCTCTCCACGCGGAGAAGGCGACGACGACGATTCGGCAGAGGCGGAGGAGGAGGGGGAGGTCTACCACGCGGAACATGTCTTCCCCAGCGGCGACTTCTATACCGGACATTGGATCGCTGGCATCCCCCACGGCACCGGGAAGTACCTGTGGACGGATGGGTGCATGTACGAGGGCGAGTGGCGGTATGGGAAGACCACCGGCCGCGGGAAGTTTTCGTGGCCCTCCGGCGCCACCTACGAGGGCGATTTCAAGGCCGGGTTCATGGACGGCTTCGGTACCTACACCGGCGCCTCCGGCGAAACCTACTGGGGGAGCTGGTCCATGAACCTGAAACACGGCCACGGCAAGAAGTCCTACGCCAACGGCGACTACTACGACGGCGAGTGGCGCTCCGGCATGCAGGACGGCCACGGCCGCTACGTCTGGCGCAGCGGAACCGAGTACGTCGGACAGTGGCGCGCCGGGCTCATCCATGGCAGAGGAGCCCTCATCTGGGCTAACGGCAATCGCTACGACGGTGATTGGGACAATGGAAATCCCAGGGGCAACGGTAGCTTCCGGTGGGCTGATGGCGGCCTCTACGTCGGGGAATGGTCTAACGAGAATGCCACCATCCAACACAAAGGGGTGTACTACCCATCGCCGACCGCCACCGCCCCCACTGCCCGAGACCCACAGGAAGAGTTTGTGGCCGACCTTGAAGAATGCAAGATCTCACTGGGGGAAACCATATCGGTGCTTCCCTCCCAGAAGACCCTCAATTGGTCCGGCATTGAGCCGCGGCGGTCCTCCACGGCCTCTGAATCTGCCGCCACGGACCGCGCCAGAAGGCGGGCCTCCGTCGACGGTGCCGCTTTGCTGCGCAGAAGGCCCAACGGCAGGACACTCACCGTGATCGGGACCAATGACAATGTGGGACTAGAAAAGGGGCTGGATGGGATCTACACCTGGGAGTCCCATGGAGATATTCCTTCTGGCATGGTCGAGAGGCGTTCCATGGTTGAGAAGCAGGATGCGGCAGAGGCAAAGGTGCCGATGAACCCACCACGCATGCGTTGGCGGCCTCCGAGAGCCATGAAGAAGAAGCAAGGAGAAACCATCATGAAAGGGCACAAGAATTATGACCTTATGCTCAATCTCCAGCTCGGGATAAGGTAATGTTTTCCTGCGTAGCTATATGTAGTCTTTGGCTGAAGATTGTGTATATGAAGGCATTGTCATGTGCTTGCAATTCTCCATCAATGAAGCTTAGTAAAGTGGAAACACTAATTCATTTCTTAGATAATCCACTAAAAGACAGCGGTTTGATGTAGATTGTGTTCTTATCCTTGTTTTCCAGAGTTCACCAATCTAAAGTTTGCTGTGGTACAGACATGCTGTTGGAAAACAAGGTCCTTCTCAGAGTGAGCTGAAATCATCTGCCTTTGACCCCAAAGAAAAAGTGTGGACAAAGTTTCCTCCTGAAGGCTCGAAGCATACACCTCCACATCAATCCTGTGAATTCAGATGGAAAGATTACTGTCCATTGGTGTTCAGGTAAGTCCATGACTCTACTCTGTTACATTTTAGTTATCACCTTTGAAGTTTGTATTCTTAAACTAGAGCAGACTTGATGATACATGATACTTAAATTGAATGTTCAGGACACTTTGCAGGCTGTTCAAAGTTGATGCAGCTGACTATATGATGTCTCTTTGTGGCAATGATGCCCTTCGGGAGCTGTCTTCGCCTGGTAAGAGTGGAAGTTTCTTTTACCTGACCAATGATGACAGATATATGATAAAGACAATGAAGAAGTCTGAAGTAAAGGTAATCATCTTTTCCTATCCGAATCATCCTTCCTATTTGAAACGGTAATCCTTTTCCTAGTTTCCGCATCTATCTTACCACATAACATCTTGTTCGACAGGTCCTTTTGCGGATGCTTCAAGCATATTATAACCATGTCAGGAAATTTGAGAACAGTTTGGTAACCAAGTTTTTTGGTCTTCATTGTGTGAAGTTAACTGGAGCTTCACAGAAGAAGGTCAGAATGCAGATCTCGATGAACGTTCGTAATTTTGGATGGAGTATTTTTTTTTTTTACATAACATATCAGGTTTTGCTTTTTCTTGTCACAATTGATCAGGTCCGCTTTGTTATAATGGAAAATTTGTTCTGCTCTGAGTATGTTATTCACCGGCGGTTTGACCTGAAAGGATCTTCTCATGGTCGTATGACCAGTAAGCCAGAGTCAGAGATTGACGAAACCACTACCTTAAAGGATCTTGATCTTAACTTCATATTTCGGCTACAACGATCTTGGTTTCAGGAGTTCCAAAGGTATTGTTATCGATTTTGTCCAGTTTTATGGCAGTTCTGTTTTCTGAACCTAGATATTCTATGCTTCTTATATAGAATGAGATATATATATATATGTGCTTTCTACAGGCAAGTTGACAAGGATTGTGAGTTTCTCGAGCAGGAGAGGATCATGGATTATAGTCTTTTAGTGGGAGTCCATTTTAGAAGTTCCAGAGAGATGCTTCCACCTGAAGGTTCATTTTAATGTCTGAAATGGCATCAAAATATTTATTCAAGCTTCCCTGACTGTGCATTTTCTAAGTTGCTCATGTTTTGGTCAAAGGTGGTGACGATGATAGCAAAAGAGAAGCAACAATGCAGCTTTCAAGAGTCAACAAGGATGATTTGAATTCTGATTCGAATAGGTACAACCATTATGGATTAGTTTCTATGTTTTTCTTTGTTTCTTGTCTGCTTAGATGTATTATTACTCAGTACCAAACTATTAGAGGACCTTTTGACAGCCAAATCAAACAATGCAAGGCATCTTGCATGCTTCTTCTATATAAATTCATTCCCTTGATGTTCTAACATGTGAGAGAGTGTCATAATTAGATTTTCATATGACTTTGCTATGTTTCTCTCGCGAGATCTATATTTCTCTTTGTTACATGTCCTATTTAATGTATCATAATTATTCAGTACCAAACTATTAGGGGATCTTTTGACAACCAAATCAAATAATGCAATGCCTCATGCATGCTTCTTCTATATGTGTCTCATTCGCCCTATGTGTGACAGAATGTTGCTTGTGCTCTTTAGATTATTTTTCTAACATCAAACTATTAGAGGATTTGTTGATGACCAAATCAAATCATGCAAGGCATCATGCATGCTTCTTCTACATATTTCATTCTCTTGATGTTTACCAAGTGACAAATGAAATGAGTACCTTCTCATACGAGTTTGTGTGTTTCTTTTGCTACAATTAAACAATAAATTGCTACACTTGTTGAGGACAAAATCAAATCATGCATACTTCTTGTACATATTTCATTCTCTTGATGTTTAACATGAGACAAATGGTATCATTACCTTCTCATATGACTTTGCATGTTTCTTTTGCTATATATTAACAGTAAATTTCTACATTTGTACTGTCTGAAATAACCGATATATTTATCACAAGTATGAATTTATTGATATGCACATATGCTTAGTCAATGATGTTATTGTAGAAAAAGAAACAAAAATGTTGTTTTTTTTTTTTGTATCCTTTAGGATCTCATATCCTTCATCTCATCGAATAGTTTGTGCCGTCATCTCCCAAAATACATTTCAGCATCCATCTATCTATCTTTCTCTGCACAACATCATCAAGATTAGCCCTTGAGCTTTTGTTCCTTCTGTTTGATGCTGTAGGACGGGAAAGATCAGACTAGGCGTCAACATGCCAGCTAGAGCTGAACTGACAGTTAGGAAGAGCGATGGCGATTCCCAGCTCGTCGGAGAACCCACCGGAGAGTTCTACGATATAGTCTTGATTTTTGGCATCATAGACATATTGCAAGACTACGATATCAGCAAAAAGCTTGAGCATGCCTACAAGTCTTTCCAGTTTGATCCATCCTCGATATCAGCTGTAGATCCGAAACAGTACTCGAGACGCTTCCGTGATTTCATATACAGAGCTTTCACAGAGGCAACCTAAAGCAAAATTCTGAGCCGCAGCAAACAAGAAGAGTTCCAGGTTGAGCGACTTGGACTCACGAGAACACACAAGAAATCCGGCACGGCAGCAACCGGGTGCGTAGCTCTCGGCACGGCACGCTGATGCTTCATTTCGGCGAGGTACGGCTCCCAGATGGTGCTGCTTCAGCCATCACTGAGCCTCAAAGCAAGTAAATGTGAATAGAGAGCTTCATGTGATTTGTTTACACAGGTAGTGCTAATATCTTAATTTGAAAGGATAGAGAATTGTAACAACAAGCATGCAAACCGATCTAATGTTGTAAATTATTTCCATGAGAGTAACATGTACCAAATGTGGGGCTGTGCTTTGAGGTGCTGCTACAGGAAATCGGTGGATACTACTGTCCAGTGTTCGAGAACAAGAACACTTCAGATTGTGTGTTGTGTGTAAAGCATATATGGAGATGTGACAAGACACCCAAAACAAGCGTTATCAGATGTGGAGTTCTCTATATGCTAAATATACTGGCCACGCAAAAGCGATGATCGTCTGTTTCACTACCTGCAAATGCCATTTAGATTTTATGTAGGAAACAAACATAAATCAGGTGTTCGGAATCAATAAAACTGGGATCACGAGTTAAATGCCAAACGTGATTTCTGTAATGATGTTTACAAAGCTAACAGATCAGTCAGTGACATTTCGATACAAAAACATGAGACCTCGGGCACTTTTTCCTGACTGTTCCACAAAATATAATGTATTGTTCGATAAATGGTGATGATGGAACAACATATCTCACTTTTTCTCATATGTTTAGCATATAAATCCTGACCCACTGGACCAAACATGCCCTCGTTTGTGAAGAACAGAATAAGGTAGTGAGGACTGGAACAACATATCTCACTTTTGTCAGATGTTTGGCATATAAATCCTGACTCACTGGAGCAAACATGCACTTGTTTGTAGAGAGCAACATAAGGTAGATGACACAGCCAGAAACCTCCATGAATGCACTCTTCATTTAGAATTTATGCAACACAACCGCACACATCCGAGCCTGGCCGGAGTTTAGAGCAAAAGTGCGAACTTATCATGAGCAAAACTGCTTCACCTGGACACCTGCCACGGACGTGTGTGTGATTCGTCAGATGTTTAACTGCACAATAAGATTGAGCCACTAATATCATATTAAGGTGATTCATCAGATGTTTAACTGCACAATAAGATTGAGCCACTTAATATTAAAGCTAGGTACTGCACTCTACTTGATGATTTAGGAGCATGCCAAGAACTGCATCTAGAAAAGAGTTCAACTTAAAAGAATTGGAAACCTATGATTCTTGTTTAAATTGGATTTCAGGCCTAAAATTGGTAAAGTTTTCAAAGAAATTAATCCAAATAAATTTTCTTGTCTATAAAACTCTTGAAACTAGCACATCTTCTGTTACATTTTTATATATTTGTTTATCTATTTTTACCAAAGAAAAAACATGCACCTCCGTATGAACAAGTGAAAAGAAAATCCATACATAATCCTTTTAACAATAATTACAAGGCATCAATTCAATGACTTGGTTTTCCCAGTCCTGAAATACATCTATTAATAATATTATGAATGGATTAGCTCAAACTTATGAATGTAATAGGAGAAAAAACTTCCACATCTTATAAATACCTAACTAAACTTCAGAAACAATCAAGACTTGGACGTTGATATGATGATATTTTTTTTTCCATTAAGTTTGATCACACCTGTTGTGGAAAAACATTAGACATTTACAAGAAAGAACCTAAACATAAGGTTTTCTTTTTCTCTCAAGGCATAAAACCTGAATAGAATTCAACAAGTCCAGCATGAAATTGCAACTAAGTTCCAAGGCAAGAACACATCTTCATGTTGTCTTCTTGCTAATCATGAAATATTCTATTAAATCAAATTTATACTCACAAGGGGGGACGGGAATCATATAAGGATAAAGTGTATTTAGTCTCAAAGGAAGTGGTCAGCCAGCAAAAGCTGTGGTCTTTCTGTGTCTTCTTCAATCTGCCTAGAGACTTCATTCTTGATGTCCTTTATTTTGTTATCCCAAATGTCATCAATCAACTTCCATGCTTGGTCACTGATGATTTGTGTCTGTACAGAAAGAAAACAATTAGCTACAACATGAAGGATCACTTTTAATTCAGATGATAGTTATCATTATGTACAATGACATACCTCCAAAGGCCTGGGTGCACCAAATGTGGAAAACCCAACATATCCTGGTGCAAAGGTAACCCTCCCCGGAAGAGAGACACCATGATTTCCCCATCTTCCAGCATAAATAAGTGCTCCATACTCATCAACTGGATGAACAGGAGGCTGCAACCAGGACCAAACAAATACAAGAAAAAGCAGCAAGTTTAGTTCCACATTGAACATTGATAGAATCTCAATCTTACTTTGCAAGGACAAACTAGCATAGAAGATACACAAACATAGAAACAGAGCAAGATTGTTGTGCCTCATGATGCACACCATCTCACATTCTGCAGAATAAACAGATTGACTTGTACAAATCCAATCTAAGACTTACACTGCCCTACTTCCTATAATCCTTTCTCTCTCCTAACTTCAGTAAAACGCTTGTTAAATACAGGTTTCTTTCTTCATTCACAACCCTCTTTTTCTGATCATTTTCATCAATGAAAATCTCGTTTATATCATCATATAATCTAAGACCTACTTATACACCATATAAGATCCCAAATTATGTTATTATATGATGATTCTTGTGTGGCCTTACTCCTTGGTAATTTCTTTTACATTTGGCTTTTAATATTCTCTAACCAATCCTATAAATGTTATTTTTAAACCAGGGGTTTAAATAGGTGCTCAGGCGCTCGAGTGAGGCAAGGCGAGGCCCAAGCGCCTCAGATTAGCCAAGCGATGCACTTTAGTGAAGCACTACCTAGGCACTCGTCTGAAACCAAGCGCCGAGTACCTCAGGCGAGTGCCCGATTGAGACTATGCAACCAAACCAGACTAATAAGTTTGGTTCGGGTAGCTAGTTTGTTCAATTGAACCAACTCAACTACATAGTATTACTATAGTTGCAAAACCCACCCCCCACCCCCTTTCGTGACCCCGAGCCTTAAACCATAACATAGTCTCTGCCTTCACCGTCGACATTTCCTCTACCACTAGCTCTCCGCCGACGCATAGGACCGCCACTGCTTCTATGTGTAGCTCCTTCCACCATCGAGGGAGAGGACCGTAGCTTACTCCGCCACCAACGGACAAATCTAAAGCTTCCGCCGCCCACGACGTCGTCGTCCCCAGCTTTAACTACCGACGTCTGAAGCTTTCTCCATTGTTGCTGCTGTCGTCTGTAGGTTCCTTCGCCGCCACTGCTACTGTCGTCCGAAGCTTCCTTTGTCGTCATCGCCGTCGTCCGAAAGTTCCACTATCACCGCCGCTCTCTCCTTCCCCAATTTCCACCGTTGGTGACTCTTTTCTCCCCTCTAACTATTGTTAACAATAGATTAAATATCGTTAACAATAGATTGTTAACAATTGTTATCATATAATAGTCCCTATTTAGATTTTAGCACTACTAATATATATTTATTTAGAACTATTATTAGGGTTTGAGGATTAATGACAAGTGTACAAAGCAATTCAAAAGATTCATAAAAAAAAATTCAAGGATCCTAACTTGAAAATACAATTATTAAAGGATTCTAAAGATCCTAATGCAATTACTTGCATTTTCTATGATAAGATTACTAGAGATGGTATTTTTCGTATAAAACAGCATAAGTAGGAAACTTCAAGAATGCATCAACATGCAAAAAGTGTCCACCTGATGTAAAAGAAGAGTTATTAGCTTATATGACGGAAAAAAGATGCAAAGGAATGAATCTTATGAGATTTTACCCAGGGATAATGTTGAACATATTAGAGATGATGATGAAGAAGATTATTCAAAAAGTATCAATCCAATTGGAAAAAGAGTATATGACAAAAAAGGAAAAGAAGTCATACTGGTTAAGAAGAGTAAAAAGGAACCGAGGGACTTATATATGTATCAAAGATCACAGAAGCAACAGGGGCAAGCAGAAACAAAATTAAGACAAACAAATAATAAGTGATGCTTGTGATAAGAAAATAAGGGGAAGAACGATTCAACACATTACTCGCTTCTTCTATCAGGCTGGCCTTCTTCTTAGTACTTGTCATTTAAACAGTTTTAAAGGGATGATTAAAGTTATTGAAAGATATGATGAGAGATAAAAACCTTCTAGTTATTATGAGTTACGAGTTTCATTATTGAAAAAAGAGTTGATTATACAAATGACTTATTAAAGCATCACAAAGAATCATGTGTAAAACATGGTTGCTTTATTATGTCAGATGCTTGGATCGACAGGAGACATAGAAGTATAATTAATTTTATGACCAATTGTTCTTTAGGAACCATGTTTGTGAAGTCAATAGATGCATCATTTTTTATGAAATTAGGAGAAAATATATATAAATTGCTTAATAAATTAGTGGAAGAAATTGGTGAACAAAATATCGTCCAAGTCATAACCAGCAATGGAAACAACAATGTGTTAGTTGGTAAGATTTATCTTTTAAATTTTTTAATCCGTTATTTACTTTATCTCAAATTTGAATGGAAAAACTATGTGACTCCTAAGTCTTAAGAATTTTATTTTGTCTTAGGTAAATTACTTGGAGTAAAAAGACAACACTTATATTAGATTCCATGTGCGGCACATTGCATTGATTTAATATTGGAGGATATTGAGAAGATTCTTGACATTAAAAAAACTTTAAATAGGGCAATCTTTGTTGTTGGATTTCTCTATAATCATATTGGGATTTTGAATATAATGACACAATTCACAGGCAACAAGGAATTGGTGAGATATAGTGTCACATAATTTGCTACTTCCTTGACATTACAAAGCATGCATCATTAAAAACATAACATGAGAAACATGTTTACCTCGAAGAAATGGATGACAAGCAAACAAGCAAAACAAGCAAAAGACAAAAGGGCCGATGATATTATCTTAATGTCGTCTTTTTGAAATCGTACAGTTTATACATTAAAGGTAATGAGGTCTCTTGTTTGAGTCCTTCGGTTGGCAGATAATAAAAAAATATATATAATAGGATATATTTATAAGGCTAAGGATAGAACAAAGAAGATGATTCAAAAGTTCTTTGATGAAAATGAAAAAAAAATATTAAAAAATATTTGTAATTATTGGCGAAATATGAAATTGTTAACTTCACTAGTCATTACATGCAGCAAAATATTATTTGAATCCAAAATTCTTTTATAAGAACACCTCCATTGAGTTTAATATAGAAGTTGTAAATGAGTTATATAAGTGCATTGCAATATTGGTTCCAAGCCTTGATGTGCAAGATAAGTCACACGTGAATTATTTTTATATAAGAATGTTGATGGTCTTTTTGGAATTCCAATGACAGTTCAATTTAGAACAACTATATCCCCAAGTATTTATAAATTTATATAGTTAATTTCATGTATAATATGTTATTGTTAATAATAAAATAAAATTTACGGCTGAATAGTCGAGTCTCTTTAGAAATTCCACTCCAAACTTGTAACAATTGGTTATCAAAATTCTTAATTTGACTTATAGTCCTGCGGGTTGTGAGCGAAACTGAAATGTCTTTGAGCATATAAGGATCATAAATTATTTTTATTTTGATTAATCTATCCTTTTTTAAATAGATGTACCAATCAAACAAAAAGACTAAGGATATTATTAATTAAATAATCAAGTAGGATCATTAATGAGATTATATGGTTAAAATTTTAGTCCATATCTACAATAAGTTGGATTGAACGTTGAATTAGATAATTTTTTATCCAATGACCAACCTAGTAAGGATATCACCCTCCTAATTGGATATTTTACTATCCAAGAAGTAAATCCCAAAGGTGAATGAGAGAAAAAAATAAGATGAATAAACTACTGTTAAGCTACAGAGATATTCAAGTCTCAATGCTCCTCTAAAGACCTACAACCACTCACATATATATATGTATGTATATACATATATATTGTTATAATTATTTTTTTGGAATAAAACAAATGGTCTTGGATTTTGTTAGTTCTTAGGACAAACATCTACCCTTATACTGATTTGCTTAGCTTCCAAACAGTTATCTAAATGACACCCTTTGAGGCATTCCATGGAAGGTGTAGGCGTAGCTCCCCTATATGTTGGAATGATGTTGGTGAGTTGAGATTGCCGAGCCTAGTCTTTATTTAGAATTCTGCCAAGAACAAGAAAATCATGGGGTAATGCAATTTGGGTTCAATGATAAATTGGGCCATTCGAAATATTGGAGAGTCATAGATGTGGCTTATAGATTGGCACTACACCCCTTGCTATCTGGTGTTCATGATGCGTTTGACATTTTAGTGTTGAAAGTATGTTAATGAGATGGCAAGTTGAGTTTTAAAAGATTTGCCCTATGAAGAGATTTCTAGTCAGGTGATAGATCATGAAACGCTAAGGTTCATGGGAATAATTATTCTGAATATGAAGCTACCAAGAAACTCGAGAAGCATATTCCTGATAACTATGAAGAATTTTTATACCCTTGGATAACTACAATCTCAATCAACTTCAAACTATCAAATAACGCATCAAATGAACCAAGACACTGGTTTTTGGGAATCTACCAGACCGGCACAGCATACAACAACTATAACAAGCCATATTGTCCCAACTATTTGGAGTCAGCCTTGTGGATCTTTTGTTGTCATCAATTTAGAACAATATCCTTAGTTAAATTACGAGCATTTAATATTATCAATAGTTTCTAATGAATATTTTGGTCTTCCTATAATAAATACTCCTATTTGTTTCAATTTCAGAATGTAGGTGTATCTTTGAAATACAGGAACAAATTTAAAAATACATTTATTAACATCCACAGCAAGACACATTAGAGGCAGGAACCACAAAGAAGCAGCTTCTTGACGCTGGAGATGAACTGATATCTTAAATACAGCTAAAAATTCAATCCGAAGTTTCTTTACTTCAACAAGGACTAATAAATGTCATGTGACTCACTTCACAAGGTGCACATGTCAGTGATTTAGATCATTCTAGTGCAGATGTATGCTGCTGCAAGACCAAGGAAAGGAGAAGATTACAGTACATGCATAACAATCAACTCAGTAGGAAAGACATCATTAAAGTAATATAATCAATGTAAAGCAAAATATGATCTCAAAAGGTTCCACAGAGCTGATTATTTGTTACTTTAGTCTTCTGGTTTGCATTAAAATGTGAATATCTTAAGCATTTATATATACTCATGTTCTTTGTTGCAACACTCGTTTCATGATAAGGTCACGATATTTTAGAAGAGTAACAAGGGATGCACACGTGCCATGCTCCTCCCCTTAAATATTTGTTTCATGTAGTGTCATTTTACACACTAATGTGCTTTTTGGGTTCCTGGCTTTGCACTATCCACCTGTAAATGCATTACTCTTTTGATGTAATCAGTGACTCGTCAAGAAACCATTGAACTGAGGAGTAAAGCATATGACTAAAAGTGAAAGGTAACATGTGAGCAATATCGACCATATATAAAAGGTTATGTCGCAAGTAGTTGAATATCAAAGCCAAATATCAAGCAACAAAGAAAATAATGGATGCAAATGATATACATACTTGAGGAATCCGTGGTGCTTTTCGATAAATGTCCCATATCTCCTTCGCCTTGATCTCTCCTTTCTCAAGCAAAACATCTAACACAGCATAAATGACATGATATCACTGTCCAATATACCAGGCCAATTTTTTTGTTGCCCTGTTTATATGACTAGCCCTTCAAGCAAATTGATTGAGGTATATGTAGTCAGAATAAGTAATAGATCAATATACCTGTAATTGTCTCAACTGCCGAACGATATTCTCTCAGAACAGATGAGCACTTCTCAACAGAAAAACGCATGTATTCATGCCTGAGCGCCTCCAGTTTTGCTGCAAGCTGCATCCAAAACATTTGCAGCTGGTTACCAAGGAGGATAAAAGAGATGCCATTTACTGAACCTAATCTTGCATATATGAGAACAATGATGTTGAATTTATCTATGTACATGAAGCACAAGATCACTTTGGTTTCTGTAATACGCTTTTCCAAATGCAGTCATCCCTGTTTGGAGAATTAAACGCTCTGCACTAGTCGATGCTTCAGAAGTAGCCTTTGCAGAAATCCAGCACAAATTATCTATTCCAAATATCTCCTCTTCAATAACTCTAGCTATGGATTTAAGAAACCAAGAAAGAAAAAGGATAAGGTTCTGTTTTCAAGCAAAAAAATTATTAAGGAGCACAAGGAGAAATCATTAGAGACAAGATATGTAAATCGACATATGTAAGATATATAACATTTTCATGAAAATTGATGGAAGAGTTAGTCATCATTCCATTTAATAATTAGGTGAATGCATGAACTATTATTAAAAGAAATGAGGGGGTTAAAATTGAAAAAAACTTCTAATTACAAGTAATCCTAAAAGGTGATGAACTAGTTGGCAGAATTACAGATCATGTGAATTGTTGGGCAGTACATGGAGTGCCATAAAAAAGGAGCAATTTCTTTGGTCGCCAAGAAGGGGCATTTCTGATTGGAAGTAAGTCTGACCTAAACAATGTTCAATATAAATATTTGGAACAAATCCTGTCAAACCAAGACCAACAGCTGATACCAAAGAACAAATATCAGTGGGTCAAAAGGTATGAATCTCCTTATAATATATGCTCAGAAACAATACTGAAGAGATCTCTCCACTCTGTCGAGAAGATTATGTTCAGATTAATAATGTATGTTCTATCCACCAAAGAAATTAAGCAATGCCGGAACCTTTTATTTCAGAGTACCATTTTCCATGCCAATCAACAGGGAAATATTAATTCAGTCAGTATTCCAGTGAAGTCTAACTTCAACAAAAGAAGCATCATCTATTCGCTACCATTGATTGTGCAAGCAGACAACAAAATAGTTCATGCATTAAAAAATTAAATGAGCTTAGTTTGGTAAAACAAGTGATTGTTATTCAATCACTAAACAAGGAGCTCAGTTTAGACCTAATCAGAACAGCAGGAGGCCCCATGACGAATGAGTTCGAGGCCCCTGTCACTGACAAATTGAATTCAGTGGTGGAGAATTTGGAATGACTATATTATGTTACAAACAGTAAAAAGGGCTTACTAAATCCATCCTTGACAGAAGAAACTTTCATTGGATCAGCGAAAATTGAACTACCAAGCTCTTTAACTCCAAAAATTAGACCATTGTTTTACAACACAAGGACACGTCCAAATTACTCACAGGACTAATTTATTTCTGACCATTGTTCCACCTCAGAAAAACCATAACCTGAACTATTGGTGTTACTTTTCACATATTGTGATGGCTGTTATTCATGCTATGGTAACGTGAAGAGTTGTCCCTCCATTGGATTTCATTTAATCCTTTGGCTTCATGTATAAATGCTATGCTTGATTTTGAGCAATTAACTAAAACAAAACCCCAGTTAATCATCCAGCCATGACACCTTTCAACAAGACTCCAAGTCTAAAAGGCCGTCCTGACATTCTAAAGAAACTAATTCATGATCATAGAAATCATGAAAGCTATCTGATAATCACAGAGGAATAGTAACAAACACTTAATCTAGATTCTATTGCAGTAATCAAGATGCTAACTAAAATTACACTTGACTACTGACTGCATCAGTATTTTCTCTGTTTATTCTACCTTTTTTTTTTTGACAAAAGGTAAGTAGTAAAAGTGGGATTTGAACCACGGCCTTATGATGAACCATCAAAATCTTTACCAGCTAAGCTAGTTGGCACCTTCTAAAGAGTTATTACTTTTTTTTTCTAAAGGATAAATGGCAAAAGCAGGATTCAAGCCTAGAACCCTGCGATGATTTATCAAAGTCTCCACCACTCGCTAAAAATATATCAAATGAGGTTTCAAACCCTTTGTTGTGATGATCGTTGCCTCAACCTTCCTTTGGAGAATTAGCAACTCAGGTCTTGTCCCAGTAGTCATTGACTAGGCAGATGACAACTGAGGTCATGCCACCTCAAACTTGCAATAGCTCTGAAAGAGCTGGAGAGACATGATCTCGTTTAATTCTACCCTTTTGGCAGTATATCTGCTGTTTGTATATTGACAATAGTTTGAATATTTGATTAGTATCTTTATCGATCAGAGTGTGTTAGAACCCTTGCAGATTCTAAACTTGGGATTGATCTCTTTAGGGGATCGG